ACAATGCTTCGATGCAGCAGTGAGCTCGAAGCTAGATGACATGCTCATGCTCTGGAGGACAAATGTGGCTCTTGTGTACTATTTTTATCCTGAGCCATAGACACAGTACAATAGAAAATCGGTCTGGGGAGGAGATACAATGGTTCTTGAAAGAGTATAAACCCTACCTAAGGGCATTCAACACAAAATAAAACAAATAAGTAAAAATAAACCAAACAACAAAAACATAAATGCTATTTTTTAAAAAGCTAGTTTAAAAAGGATTAAATGCTTTTATAATAGCATTTTACAGAATAAAACTAAAGTCAGAGAAACTGGTGATATATCCAGATAGGATTCATACAGGCTGGTGAGTTAATAGAAAAAAGCTGATATGGAAGTAGGGAACTCCAATATAAATTCATTAAATTTGATTCTTCTCTCTCAGCAACTATCTAGGTTTTTTCTAATTGATAATTCAAAAGATATTTGAAAACAAGGCTACCACTGCTGTATTCAAGTACTATTTATGACATGAACAGAGAACTCACAAATAAAAACAAATTTCAATTTCTCTAGTACAAGAAGAAAGCAACAAGGAACTAACAACAATTAAGATCTTATTAAAACTCATACTATATTAAGGAATCCCGGTTATATTAAGGAATTTATTTTCTTAATCTTGCTCACTAATTCTTAACTTAGAAGTCACAGCAAATAACCTAGTCTCTAACAATGCTATTACAATGCTTCTATGCATTCTAGATTAGGAGCTGGAACTCCTGTGTTGAGGTCCCTGCTCATTCTTGCTCAAATAAACCGCAAACTCTCTGGCATCATGTTCCCTTGCCTATAAAGAAGAAGCCTCCATCTCTGACATAGTTCTTAGGAGGAGTATGAGATCAACTGAAAGTATGTGTAAAGGCAGTGGAAGAGTAAACATGTTAACATGTAAAGGACACTGTGCATCTCCAGGGTTAGTTACAATTAAAACAACTGAATGACTCGTGAAGTTCAGTAAGGCAAAGGAATTGTTCTTATGAACCACTAACTTGTCCTCTTCCCATGCTTGTCTGACAGATACCCAATGCTGGCATTCATCAACTTCACGTTCATCTAGGCCGCCCCACTGGGGCCATCATCTGAAGCTGCTCCATGTTTGAGATGCTAATCTCTAAGTCCTACCCTCTGTTGGGAATAGAAGACTCCCACAACCTTTTCCCAATTCTCTTATATCCAAACTCTCTGCAATGAGCTCCTTAACTTTGCAGGCATTTTTAGTTTCTGGATTTGTATGATCTTCCTCTTCTTTCCATTTCTACAAACACTGCCCTGGTGCCAGTTCTCACTATTCCTGCCTAGACACTCTACAACAGCTTCTCCAAACTTGTATCTCTGTCCCCAGGTGTCCCCTATCCTTGTCTATGAGTCTTCCACAAGCAGAGCTCTCAAACTGCCCTATCTCATCATTTTAAATGTTATATAAAATGAACAAAGGGTGTTATAGGGTTTCATTCTGGGCAGATAAAAAATTGACTGTGGCAATGGTTATACAATTCTGTGAATACACATGCATACATATATATAAACCACTGAATTCTACACATTAAATAGATGAATAAAATAAAGCTATTTTTTAAAAAAAATACAGGACAAAACATCTGTTCATTGTAAAGTGATATTATAAACTCATTAGCATATACAGAAAGCACCACAGATGCTTACATTTGATTCTTTCCAATCTCATAAAATCAACATTAAGATACACAGAGTACGGGGAAACATATCTCTCTATCCTCCAGCTCTCCTCATCCCCCATTTT